GGGCAAAGAGGAAGAATTGGACGCAGCCGGTGAAGAGGCCGTAGAGCGAAATGAGGACGCCGATAGTGGGGGGAGAGAGTCCGAGGCCGCCGATCGCGATTGGCATGGCGGCAAAGAGGGGAAACAGTGCGAGGTAGGTGGTGTTGAGGAACGCGAGCATCACGTAGTTGGAGACGGACACAATCACGGGGTACACCAGAATTTCGTGCAATGGCAGAGGTGGGCGAGGCGGTGCTGCATTTTCGTCTCCGGATTCCGCGGAGACCGAGGACTTGTGAGTTTTCACAGGGTTGGTCTGTATGATCTGTTAGCAGGCGCTTGAGGGTCAACGGAAAAAACTTTCCTCCTTGAAAAACACAAGTAGGACCAAGAAGCAGAAGAGGACGACACTGCCCGTTATCAAACACGGGAGAAAGTAAGGGAACTCTTTCCAAAACGAAGCGGTGAATATTTTGGGGAAGCGGTCCGCGGGTCTTGCGGTAGTCCCTCCAATCAATGGACCCAGGGAAGCCTACGATCGCGTTCAGAAATTATTCTCGTGGAGGGGGAAATACATACGCCGAGTGCCCACACGACTTGATATTTCTGGTCAGTAAATGCCCGCGCTGCTCGAAGCCAAGACGCACTTGGAAGGAAAGCGTAGCCCTGAGCGCGATTGGTGCGGTCTGTCATATCCGCAATGACGCTTTTCATGACCCCTGCTCGGAATCAGCGAAGAAATGAATGATAAAACAGCGTAGAACAAACCAATATTTCCGCTCAGCAGCCCACATAGGCATCGACTGACAACCAACGTCCAGAATGTCCGCGATAGCCCGAAGCAGAAGATGGACAAGGCCATGCCGAAGAGACCAGTCAAGAGGATGGGTTTACGGCCCACATAGTCCGAAGCTCGGCTCCATTGCAAGACGGTCGCCGCCTCTGTCAAGAAGAACAGGGATTCCTGCGTGGTATTAGATGGCTACGAGGAAGAAAGGGCGGTATTTACGATCTGCGAAATGGATTATGTACCAAAATCTGACTTTTCTGGAAATTCCACGTACCAAGCCACTGGGATCGTTAGCAACAACTTCCCAATTTCAACGAGAAGACGCACGCATAGTATCCGACTTTCTTTTCATCCCCTCCAGTGATATCTAGCTCACTGACGAGCTGCATTCAATGTCAATACCCACTCGTCGGATTACAATGGGGCAACTCACTTGATTAACATACGGATATATAGATTGGCTTGTTAGCGGCTCGCAGATCTGAATCAGCAATATTATCCCTAGCTGCAGCTTGGGAAGCGGCGTCCGCCCTGGACGAGGAAGCAGAGCGGTGCTTTCCGTGGCCATGCCCTAAAGAACCTTGAGAGGAAAGGAAGCGAATCCATTGGGAACGAGCTTACCCTTTTTATGCAATAGCAAGAGGAGGAGGAGGAGGAGGAGGAGGAGCAACGGTCCCTACGATCTGAGTCAGAGGCTGAGCCGAATTCGGCCGAATCGTTAATCCGATTTGCCAGTGGTAGTGCGATCAATCGGATCAGACTGTTGGCCCCAGGCCAGCAGCGACTTGTTCAAGTTGTTGACGACTGGCAAGGTTGCTCGAACGTTCAGGCCTCAGGGTGCAAGAGTATATCTGGCATTCAGAAAGCTGAATTTTCCTAGTTCACAGATCGATGTATGCACCCTTATCAGCACGGGCCACCAAGACGCAGACACCAACGAGCGCCTTCATCCCTAACAAATCCAGTCCTTCCACGAGCCGGGTTGGAAGCGCCAGCTGTACAAACTTCAAGTTGGATCCGACCCGTGACTGCAGCATCTCCAGGAGCTTGGGTCCCTGGAAAATATACGTGCCGCGGATACTGAGTTCTCGAAGCCCAGGGACCAAAACGCGACGCCCCGGAGAAAGGACGAGGTTATCGAAAAACTTGTTGGTAACCATGGTCGGAGTGAACCCATTGTCGATCAGGAGACGCTCGAGCGCAGGAAGAAGCTCGAGAATTTCCAGCAGCTCTCCGACGCGGATGGAGCTGCGTCTGAGGACTAGATGGGTGAGTCCACAGTTGGACCGTTTCAGGAAAGAATAAAGGTTGGTGGGGTGTACGAGATAGATTATGTCGAGCGATTGGAGGGCTGGTGTAGTAAAATGATCCAGCATCTCACCCAGCTCGGGCACCCTGAGAGTGTTTTCAGGACCATCAACCTCGATGCACCAAGAGGTGAGACGTGGTAGAAGGAATGGCGCCGACCGGGTGCCCCACATGCTGAGAATCGCGCCGTCGTCATTGGTGTCTCGACAGGGAAGAATACATCTCAGGGACGTGAGCTTTGGGAAATCGTCAAGCTGCAGGCCGTGACTGGGGATGTCCCTCATTGTCTGCGGCCAAATGACCAGAAAGCGGATCTGCGCGCAGGGGATTCGTTTCCATGGACGTGCAGGCGGAAACCCCGATAGGGTGATGCATCGGCCCCGAGTGCGAAGTGTATGTAGTCTGGGGACATCGTCGAATTGGTGAGTCTCGTGGATGCGAGAATCGGGTAGCTGCAAAATTTCTAGATGCGGCAATTTGCCCCGGATCCCGAACCATTCCACCCCGTCCCAAAAACCTGTCAACTGGAGACTGAAGAAGCGATTGGAGTGTTGTGCGAGTAGCGCCAGCACGGCTCGGGAGCCGGCCACATCAAGATGTTGTTCCCGGTACCGAGCATGGATTCGAACGGACAGCGGGGCATCACGCGAACGTTGGAGGTAGAGTTCGAGCAAGCGGAGGTGCGAGGTCGTCTCCCGGATGTTGACCATGAAGGACGACCAGAGAGACGGAAAGTCTAAAGCAACTTTCCGCCAGTCCATGCAGACGTGCGTGATAGCAAGCAGTGCTCCCCTGCCCACCTCGAAAGTGCCCGGTTCTGCCACGGCGTGGAAGATGTCCAGTAAGACGTCGTATGGGATTTTAGAGATGGGAGTTGCAGCGTCTGGATCGTCGAGTGTTGATTCTCCTCCAGCATGGAGATCTACTTGAGAAAGTTGGTGTGACACTCGTTCATCGTCCATCGAGAGATGGGCAAACCTGTTTTGATGACACAGCATTGATGCCATCACCTTCTAGAAAATTCTTCAGCGCGTCACCCTTCTCAAGTTCTCTCGCCACAGCTATCGACGCGGCCTTTCGGAAAGCACTGCACCCATGTCCATGGCCGCCCAGCCTGCACCAGAACTCGAACCCGAGCTCGAAATAATCGACTTGACTGGAGATGCCACCGATTCTGAGGCTGGAGCATATGCCGAAGAAGAAGCAGACACCGACGACGTTTCCGATGCCTCGCGTGCCCAACTTCGTACCGCCATAGCCAACGTCCCCGAAGCGCATCTACGCCACGTAGTGGCCTCACTGGCGGACGCGGTGCCGTCGTTTCACCGTGCGCTCGCCAGAGAGCTGCTGGGAATCAATCCTGTGACGCGTGTGGTCGTTCCTCGTTGGGAGACATGCAGGAACTGTGGGGAGACGTACGACGTCAACGCGGACGATGAGCATGACACGTGTGTCTTTCATCCAGGTGCGTTCGTAACTTTCAAGCCGTGCCTCGGACTGAATTACTTGCCAGGTGATATGGAAGTAGACGAAGAAGCGTTCCCCGACTGGGATGAGGACTGCCATGGTCCTAAGGACACGAAACACAATCGCCAAGAATACCCCGAAAACTTTTTGTGGAGTTGCTGTGATGCGGATGGGATGGCAGAGGGTTGCGTTAACGGGAAACACAAGGCGACGGCGTCGAAAAAACGGCGGTTAGGTTGATGTTTGAACAAACTATTGCGTGTCTCTCCTTCGTGAATTTCTCCGACTTGGAACTCCCAGATGTCTGGTTTGGTTGCCTCTTTGACCGAATGCTCAGTTCGTCCCTTTGTCTTCGTCGCAAATCATGTAGAGCAGTCTTTTGCTGGCGTGGAAGGCCATCCCGCAATCCTTGACTCTGGCGCACTCCAAGATCTCGGGACAATCGTGCCTGCCTATGCCTGCGAGTTCTTTTCATTTGTTGGCTGGTTCCGAACCGTCTTGACCTGTGGGCTCAAGTGGTAGTATGGCACGAAACGGGGATGGCGCACTCCCGTACTGCTATTACCACGGAAATCTTTCGACAGCATCAAGTCCTCACTGTGAATGAAAAAACAGCGTGCTCATGGTAGCTATAATCGCGATGCCCCCAAGGAACACGACATGTTCAATCAAACGTTGAACTTCATCCAGACGTTCAAGGCACAACCGTATACGGTGGTCAGATGTGATACTCTACATTGGATTGCTAATACAAGTTCGATTGATAATGTGGGTGCGCGGGGAGCTCGAGTCCGACAGAGCATAATCAATGCTTGTTAACCTCCTGCTGGGCCTGGCCCTTCTCATTCCGAAGGTTTCCCTGTGTTTGCTGCGTCTTGTCACCGGTGACGGCTCCAATGACGCTGTCCATCTTGCCCGAGGCGCGGTCGACGGTGCCCTCGGCGTAGCCTTTAACTTGAGCGGCCTGTGAATGGTTTCAACGTCAACGAGGAAATGATGATTCCGATGAAGAGAAGGACTACCTTGTACTCGGCCTCACCCTGGGCATGCTCCTCCTTGCCGCTGGTTTGCCAGCTTTGGAGGCCGGTGACGTTGCCGACGGTCTCGACGGCGGTACCTTTCATCGAATGGTACTGGCCGTTGGTCTTGCTGTAGTTTTGGGTCAGAAAAGCATGTCAAACTGAATACGGAAAGACGAACTTGGGGCTGGTGGTGGAAGACATGATGTGATATGAGATGGTTGTGATATGAGATGGTTTGAGATGAGTCTGACACGGGTGTCGGACGCCCTTTTGTACTGCACGAAGGCCAAGGTATGGAGGGAGCCGCACAGGGGTCAAAGCGGTATGACCGCATCATGACATCAAGCTGTGCATTCACAGGCGACAGAATCACCTGGCCGCGTTGCACTTCTGTTCCTGGCTGGACGAGTAAGTGTCAGCTCAGAGTGCTGTATGGCTGCCTAGTGTAACGGTCATCACATCAGATTCTGATTCTGGGGACCCCGGTTCGACTCCGGGGGCGGCCTTATGAAGTCAATTTCCTTTTTACTGTCTTATACCTCTACTCCAGTTCCTTCTTGCTACCGAGAACGCTGATCAAATCCCCTATGAAGCAAGCTGCAAGAGCGACTTGTGTTATTATAACGACGCAGACATTGAAATAAAACTCAATTCAACTTGCCAATAACGCTCGCACCAGCCATACCACCCGATGGAAGAGTCACAGAAACAGACCTGGTCTGAGCCGTACCCCAACCCGGCGGCGTCTTGCCAGTCAAGAGTGTAAACTCAAACTCAAGGTCACCCACTACCGTCTGGCTTGGATCCGACACCGTCACCTCCCAAGTATCCATCCGGAAAATCAAACTCGAGTTCCCGCTCGCCTTGACTTGAATGGCGCCGCCCTCGCCCTTGAGACAAGGGATGATCACCGTTGAGGTGCCCGTCTTCCAGAACGTGATGTATGCCGTGTTATGCGCGTGGTCCACCAAAGCGGAGATGGACCCGTCGTTCCGGACGACCTGCAGGTTCTTTTGCGCCGCCTCGGCCTTTTGACCAAACTCATCCTGCGTAGTCCCGGGAAACATGGCGTATGAAACCGGCGTGGAGACGACGTCGTGGGACAGCCAGGTTACAGGCGGGTTGGTGCGCAATTAATGCCCACGTACCGCAATCATCAGGCTTCACCTTTGTCCCGCCAGCACAAATTTACATATTGAAAACCACGAACGTTGGCGCTGCGACAAGGAATTAGTGAGTCGAAATGTTTGAAGCTTGAATAATCACTAGTCTTTCCCATACCGTAAAAGCGAGTTGTTGAATTAATGCGTTCCTGAAAAAGTAGGTGTGGCTCCAACTTGGAAGGCCACGCGTTTACTGCCAGCGTCTCTGTGACTGATTTCTTAGGCGCTGTTGAGCGTTTATTTTTTTGCCGAAACTTTACTCATCATATATGACCAACTGATCTCCGAAATTAAGGTTCATCTCTGGGTACATAACCAGGCCAACTCGGACAGTCATTCACTCACCTCCCATGACCATGCGCACCCAAAAGGCCCTCCTCCTCCTCGAAAAACAAGGCCCGCTCGCCGTCGTCGATGGCCATCCTATCCCGAACCCCGGCCCAGGCGAGATTCTCGTCAAGGTCCAAGCTGCAGCGTTAAATCCCGTGGACTGGAAGATCGCAAAGACAGGCGATTTCGTCCAAAACTACCCGGCTGTTCTGGGCTGGGATTTATCGGGGGACGTGGAGGACATCGGGGAGGGTGTTGTCGGGCTGGAAAAGGGCGATCGAGTGTGAGTCTCCTGGTTGAATCGCAACTCTGGAGCTAGAAGTGGTTTAGGATGGCGTCGGCCTTTATCCCCAAGGGATATGCTGCGTTTCAGCAGTACACTTTGGTCGCTGCCAACCTCGTTACAAAGGTTAGCAAACATTCATCCTCGCAGTCCCTTTACTCACGAGTGATTAGTTGCCGTCTGACCTCGATTACGCCGATGCCGCAACGATTCCCCTCGGATACTCCACTGCTGCAGTCGGTCTTCTTGCCGCGTTCCCCGGTGGTGCAGGCCTCAACCCCACTTTGGACCCCGCCATCAAGTTTTCCGGCCAACCGGCATTCGTCCTTGGAGGGAGCTCCTCCGTCGGTCAATTCGGTTCGCATTCAACCTCTCTGTGAAATAAATGAGTTACCTCGCCAACAGCGATTCAAATCCTCCGCACCCTCGCATTCTCCCCAATAATCACCTACGCCTCCGCCAGACACGCGAACTACCTCAAATCCCTCGGCGCGACGCACGTCATCGACCGCGGCACCATAATCATCGAGGATATCCCCGCAGCCGTGCAGAACCTCCTTCCCCCGGGCACCCAACTTCAAGTCGTGTACGACGCCATCAGCGAGCCAGACACTCAAGAAGTGTGTTGGGCTCTTGTTAGCGAGGACGGGATCGTCGTTGCCATTCAGCGCGGCGTTGCCGACAGAGATGTTGGAGGAAAGAGGTTGATCCACATCGCGGGGTCGCCGTACGCTCCCATCAATAAGGATTTTGGGCCACGCCTGTGGAGGATGTTGACTGGACAGGTCGAGGAGGGGACCATCGTGGTGAGTGCTCCTGGTGGATACAAAACAACTGGTTGACTTTCGGAAAGCCGAATCGCGTCGAGAAGCTGCCTGGTGGGTTGGCGGGGATCGTAGATGGATTGAAGAGGATGGAGAATAATGCGGTCAGTGGGGTCAAGCTCGTGGTTTTTCCGCAGGAGACGTAAATCCCGATGTGCTTGATCTAGAATGCTCAACGTTCAATTTTCAATGCTTGTCAAACGAGATGTATGTATATGCAGAGATTGTATGCGAAAGAGAAGTGAATGCATCGGGACTTTATGGATCCGGAGTTATCCGGGACTTGGTCGGCGTCCCAACGGGTGTATCCTCTAAAGACTGGAGGGAGATCATGACGATTTCTTCCGGATCCGGATTGTCGTTGTTCTGTAGAAGAGTAAGTACACCGCTAAATACGCAGAGGCATTATCTCACAAAAGCACTTCGAAGCCCGTTGGACTGCGAATGGTTTCGGAATACCACGCTGGGCATAGGTAGCGTCATCTGCGTGTCAGCTACGGAGGCTTGCGCTGCGGGTCCGACGAGGAAGTTGGTTAGGATCGTGAGCGCGTAGATGCGACCCTGGCAGTTGAAGAATAGGAGGTATGCTGCAGCATTGGTTGGTTTCACAGTGGAATGAAACTCGAGGGAAGTACCTGGATTGCCTTTGAGCAGGAATACCATCACCAGGAGGGTGCATGAAGCGACGAGGACTCCCGAGGTGAAAGTGATGATGATGAGCCGGTGCAGGAGACTGCGAGATATGAGGGGTAGTGTTGCGCAGAGGATGAGGCAGACTGACCGGTGCGTCGAAGGTCGAACGGCAGAGCTAATTTCCATCCGAACGAATGTGAACATGAGCACGGATGCGATGAGAACGTCCGTCGAGGCGCAGGATATGGCTCCGATCCTGTAAAGGTTTCGTAAGACTGCGCCGAGTCTCCGAGCATGACGTACTTGGTTGTCAAGAATGCCGCTCCGAATGGAGAACCCGTCGTCAACAGCAGAATACCCGACACATAACTTGCCACGAGCTGCCGCATATCAGTGGTTGGGGGTGAAGATTGAAGCGGTCGGCCCACATGCAACGCTACGAGAGCGATAAGGAGTAATGTAATAAACCAGTTGTTCGTTCTTAGTTCGAGTCAGCATCCTGACAGATCGTCTATTTTGAGCACTCACAAGATGTAATAAATGCGACACAGGAAAAGCTGCTCTATGGACGCCGTGCCATATGTCGAGAACAGCTGCACTGCCGTGTAGGTGAAGATTTTGTCGAATCGGACTTGCACAAGGCTGTAGTACGATTCGGCACATACGACGACTGTGCACACTGTGTCGAAGAGGAGCATAGCCACGATCCCAGCTCGAATGAACAGATGTCGAGTCCGAGATTGCTGCAAGTATTGCACGACCAGCACGATCTCCAGCATATAGAGCATGGAATTAATCCACGGCGACACCAAGACATACCTGCAGAGTGTCAAGGCGGACCAAGGTGGAGAGAAGCGCACGACGCACGTGTTGTAGACGAGTACTATATGTGGGTCCGGTACAGGTGGGCTGTCTGCCATGTTGGGGGGAGAAGGTCGACCAGCGAGCTGTCGTTCTTTGGGCACGTCGGACCGTGGCAGAAGACAGGGTGCTGGCGCGCGTCGACGTCGCCGCCATTGCTTCCGAAAATTGAGGCATCTTCGACAAATCTTAGATAGACCCTTTTAGAAGCTTCTCCAGCGGCTTTGAAATTCGGATGCCCGTTGGTGGGTCCAATTTGACCACCGCAGCGGCACATGAGCAAAGACGTTGCTGAGGTGGTGAGAGGAGACGAGGAGATATTTGATGGTTTTGATGGAGCGTCAGATGATCCGCCCTCTACTACTAAGTAAGTACATAGTCTTGCCAGACCCCATTGGGCCGAGCGGCAATCACACCACTTTTTTTCTTGAGACCACCATCGCCCGATGTCAAACGGCCCCGACAGCGATTCCCAGCTTCCCTTGAAGCGCCAGCGCACAGAAAACACTGACCGCACTGATCTGGTCCGCTCCAAGATCTGGAAGTCCTGGGGGGACATCGTTTTACAGGCCGAATCCACCCTGTTCAAGGTCAACCGGACTGTTCTGGCACAGCATTCTTCTGTTTTCGAGGGCATGTTCTCGATTCCCCAGCCTCAAGATGGCGAAACCGTTGATTGTTGTGCGGTTGTGGAGCTGTCGGATACCGCGCAGGACGTTGAATTGTTGCTTGCTGCATTATACGATCCGTAAGCTGATTACCAAACTACTTACTGTTCTTCGTAACTGTTCCTGCAGATTCCACCACCAGCCGAAACAGCCCTTTGAAGTCGTCGCTTGCATGCTGCGTCTGGGAAGGAAGTACGAGATCGACCAGTTCAAAGACGACGCGGTTTCTCGCATTCGCCAGGCGTTCCCGAATCGCCCCGAACCATGGGGAGAAGTTAGCAAAATCGAGGACCGCGCAGGACTTGTGCTCGATCTTCTGAATTTGGCATACGAAACTGGGTTGAATACCTGCATTCCGACACTTGCTCTCCGGTGTCTTGAGTATTGGACCTTGGTGAGTAAACTGAGATGTTGTCCTACAGAAAACTCAACCATACCTTCTCAGAAGGATCTCTTCACGGGTATTCCTCGTCCCGATGGCTCACGCGCCATTCCATGCGACGCTATCAAGCTGACCCTTGCCCTTGGCTCGGAGGCCATCCGAGAGGCACAGGGCCGCTCTTTCAGAGCTTTCCTGTCGAAGGAGGAGTCGTGTCGAGCTTCTTGCGGGTCTGACCATATCGTATCGAGAAAAAGATACCAATATGGTTTCAGGGCCAGAGCCGACAAATCCTACACAACCGGCGTGTTTATTTACGCTTATCTTCCGGGATTCACTTTCCAGGGCGTAGCAGTGGGGACTGT